GTTTTTTTCCCCCCAACTTTAACTTGTAATTTGAATGCCTCTTAGTTTTTCTTAAACTACATGTTAGCCAGTGGTGGTTCTAAAGGTGGTTCAAAGTACTGTTAAAAATCAGACAATCCCATACCGATATGATGGAGATGATGCTGTTTGGCTGATTGGATTTTTTTTGTAAAGAAAAAAAAAAACTGAGCCAAACTACTATTGTTTGTATGTACAAAGACCCTTTGCCAAATGTTGAATGTTTGAATGCTGCAGCCAGTTAACTAGCACAAATGCGTTACATTCCCATTTAGGGATGGCCATTGCAAATTAGCGTCGGCTACAAATGAAGCAGTATGTGGCATTGGTTCATGCTATACTTTTGCCTATACAAATAAACATTAATAAATGGACAAATCAACTAGTAAAAAACTAAAACAAAGATGGAAACTGCTGAAATGAATTGAGTGTGTTGTTACATTAAATTAAAGCTGATTTCTAAGTCTGCTCACTCCAATGTCAGAGTGTTCTTCAACGCACCAACAAGTATTTTCAGTATAGTCGCTTTGTGACCGAACTTCAACATAACTTTGACCAAAAATAAAAGAGATGAATTCTTCCCTGTGATGGATCACCTCGGTTTCAGGTCTGGAAAGCAGACTGGAATGAACACAAAGCGGTCGCTGCCTGGAAGGAGGGAAATCCATCGAAACACTTGTGGCGGTAGTACAGCAAAGAAAAATATTAAAAGTTGATCAGCTTTTTGTACGGGTCAAATCGGACAGTATAAATGAAAGAGTGCTTTTTGAAAGGCAGTTACTCAAGCTCGGAGCACTTGTTTTCTGTCAGAGGAGGATTGGATGGCTGAGTGTGTAAAAACAACTTGGTGAAGGAATACTATTTGGAATATTTTAGCACTTATTAAAAGACCAAGGTGTTTCATTTTCAGATTAGACTGTGAAGAAGCTCCAGGGGAGCGAGCACACACACACACACACACACACACACACAAAGAGAGCATAAATTAACTACTGGCATGTCTTGTAATATGGCAGCCAGCCAGCCAACACACATCACATTAGACTCTCTCTCTCTCAACTCAAAGAGGCTACAGGGCTGCCTCTAGTGACCCTAGTAATTATGAAGGGAGTAAAGGAGGAAGTAAGGTGCCGTGGCGCGACAAAGAACAAACACAGGACTTTCAGCCAGGAGTCCCGTCAACGTTGAATTATTTTTAACGTACATAAGTAGCGCCGTGGTTACTCTTTTCTTTTCATTGCGACGGAAGTCTGCGGTGTCCGAATGTGTGTGCCGACACTTCAATGCGACATTCCCTGACTGGATAGTGAGCAGACATATTATGCGGTCAAAGGAGATAAAAGTCCACCTTTACTTTGTTGTTTAAAAGCTTTTATTTTGAAGCAGTAAAATCAGGAAAAGTTGGGTTTTCATCAGCAGTAACTTAACAGGACTCAGACAGCAGGTCTCAGCTGGACCCCATCCCCGGTTTTCCTCCTCTCTTCCCTTTACTCTCCTCGGGAGACGAAGACCCGTGTGGCGGGAAGACGAAAGAGACCTACGTTTGATCATTTATCGGGATTGTGCCCCAAAGCTGTCCACACCTCGCTGAGATCCAAACTTGATGCGAGCCAGGCCACCTCGGCATGTGGTCTGGCTGACATACCACTTTGTGTGTGTCGTTGCGTTTGCATAATTAAAATAAGGCCCATAGTCCGGCCCGTCTGATAGCAATCCAGCTGCAACACCTTCTACCTGCATTTACACCTTCATTAACACATCCACATAGAATATCCAGATACAGACTGAACCTTTATTCGCCTAAAACACATGGTCAAGTTCTACAATGAACAGATGCACGTCGAGCTTAGGTGCTAGTGGAAAACTCTGTATAAAGGCTTCTTAGCACTTTCATCTGGCATGTCAAAGTGGAAGAGGCATTTTTGTTTTGTATACTGCTGTGTCTCTTGACAGATGACTGTAAAGGGTCATTCTGGTTCAACACATCATCGCTTGGTCTGTAGCCGTTTTGGCCGTTTCAGAGATGGTATGTCAGTTTCGGCTCCTTACATGCATACAGCCTCTTCGAGCTAGGTCTAACAAAAGTGCTTGGTTGGTTTAGGACAAGATGGGGGTTTGGGTTAAAATAAGTATTTTCGTTAGGTAAAATAAGTATGCCGGTTTACTTAACCGGCATTAAATTTGGTTAAATGAGTCAACGTTGACTTTGGTTTCACACACAGGACACGCTTGTCTTCACAAAAGTAATAGCTGATCCAGGAATGAGACGACATCCCTAAAGGGACTTATATGAGGAAAGAAAAATGAGCAGCAGGTAATAGGTTGTAAACAAACCCCATGGTTAGCCAAGCTTGGAGAAAGCGGAGGTGACCAGTAGAATTATTAGGGGCCGTTCACCTCAAATCCATTGTTGCGCGTAGAAGGCGCATTTAAAAGAGAGAGGGACACCCATCCTGGCGTGCAAGCTTTCCCAAGCGCCTATTTTCCAGGTCACATCGGCTGAGCCCCAGGATAAAAAATACAGTTCAGCTTTTAGAACACAGACACGTGTCAAGTGACGTGGAACAACCAATCCAGCAAGCGGATATCCTTTTTTTATCTTCCGCAAACAGTAAGCAGTAAAGCTACTGCCAGGGATTTTACGGCGGGCTGAAAGGATGAAAACGACACGGCTGGCGGTTTTCACATGCGGTTTTAAACGCAACATGCGAACAACCTCTTTCTCGGGATTACTGATGCAACAGTGCTTATCTGCCACTTTATGTGAGGATCTGCCTCTTCAGGGCAGTGAGGCTGAGGAGGTGACTGTGTGAGCTAGGACTTTACATCGGCAGATATGTTCATTACTATACTTGTGCCCACATGTCAGGAACTGATAATAAATCATATTAATACAAATGCATGTGTAGAGTGGATGAGGCAGTGAGTAACATTAATGCACTGGATAATCCTAACAAAGTCTATATATATATCGTGCTGTATTTGAATATTTAGACTACGTTGATGCTGATAACTTTTATTTTATCTTATTTTATGGGATATGTATGTACGAGATGCATTTGATTTTATGGCTGTTTTAATGTATGTATTTTGATATTTCACTACCATGGACCATGGTGTGCCATAAAACGGAATTCAACACAAACAAAAATGAGAATGATGACATAAAGGGGTGATTTAAAAACAAAAGCTTTGGAGAGCTAAGTCACACACACACACACACACACACACACACACACACACACACACACACACACACACACACACACACACACACACACACACTCACATCCTCCCACGGGCTGCCATTTCAGAAGGATGCTTTTGCTTTAAAAAAGTTGTAATGTTTTCTCTCTTTGTTCACGTTTCAAGGACATGCACAGCCACCACTCATCTGTAGATGGGGGCGAGAGGGAGCCATTGGGAATGAGAGAAAGAGAGTGAATTTTTTTTCTGCATTTCCGATTATGAAGCATCTTATTGGACCTTGAGGGCGCTGCTTATGCTCAGAAAAAAAGAAGAAAAAAAGGCTGGTGTGGGCTATCAGGGGAGGTGGATGTTTTCTAGTTGCCGTTTCACTCAGTAACTGTTGTTTGAAAGAGGAGAACATGGCAAAAGGGAATGGGATGTTTTAAAAAAAAAAAAAAAGACCAACAACACATCTGTTACCGGCCTTTTCCTGGTCTAGTTCTCCCCTGTGGTTTGGTAACTCTGGCAGAGCTCCAACTATCTGTCTATCTGATTTGGATGAGTGGGGGAGGGGACACTGACATTTTATGTGATAGATAGAGACATGAGATGAGGCTCTATTTAGATCTTTTACCGCATGCAAAGACATTCAGACTGCAAAACAGATTTCATCACCCGATTTGAATTAATTTCTCAAGAACTATGGAAGTCTGTGAGTGCCAACATTCAAATGAAATCATTTTTGCAGAAAAAAACAACATGGCGACGGCTGTAATCCAAGATGGCATCAGCTTCTCTGCTTGGCTCTAAAGAACTCCTCCAACACAGTGTTAACCCACAAACGGTAAATTACATAAAACATGAAGCCCCGGAGCAAGCCTCAATATTGTGTTATGTGTGTGTGTGTGTGTGTGTGTGTGTGTGTCTGTATGTGCACACGGTGTCCTTTCAGGCTCGGGGTCACAGCTCTCTCCACCCCGAAGGACACAGTAAACACTTGCTTTATTATGATTCGAATATCAGCTCCCGGACTCTGAGGGAGGACAAATGATTATCATTAATTATAATAAATTTGCCTGTCAAGACTGCAATTATTTTGTTGCCACACAAATTGGCATTCACTTAATGGCGGCGGGTGGAATGCAGCGGCGTGAGCGACTCGTGATTCTAGTTGAGCAATCAAAGCCGGGGGACGCTAATTGTTTCGCTCGTCAATATGTTTAAAATAGCGACAGTATGCGTTTGTGCGCAAGTGTGTGTGTGCAGGGACGGAGCATGTGTGTGTGTGTGAGGGAGTTAAACGCTTAACTGTCATCTCCAAGACAAGCTTGCTCCTGCTGAAAAGCACTGATGCGTCATGTAAAAAAGACAAAAACACGTATTTAGAGCGCCACACGGTTCTCTGCAGATTGGGGGACATTCTGCCTCCTTCAGGCGCAGAGACCTTTTCTGCGCCTGTGCGAACACATCAGCAACTTTATAAGGTGATCATTTGTTATCCTAACTTTGTTATCCTAAAATACCACTTACCGACATGTTATTACATTATAATATTCATACTAATATTAATCTCATCAAAATAAATTGATACGCCTGCTGTTGAAAGGGGTCACATGTTTTAGCTCCTGCAATTTGTCAAGGGCTTAAATAACAAATAATAATTGAATAATAATGTAATACAATAGTGTCTGTATGCACGACTCAAATGTTTATAATTTATATGGGGACCAAAGTGTGTTAACTGCAGTTCTCTTTGCCGAGTATTCTGTCGCCGACACAAAGAGTGCACGCACCTCTCCGGAGAAGGCCTGTCCGTTCAGCATGTGTTCGGAGCCCTGGCCGTCCTCGCTGCCGAAGTGTAGCCGGATCTCCTCCAGGCGGTGGCTGTACGTCATTGGTCCTCCAGAGATGTTCACCAGATGCTCCTTGTCCAATCGCAGGGAGACGTGGCGGCCCGTGTTGTACATGGTCCCTCCCACCTGGAGAACGAATGAGAAATAAAAATATTAAATGACAGACCATCGTTATGAAATTCACAATGGCCTTATCTGTAAATTGTGAGAAGAAACATGGATCAAGCGTAAGGTGAAGAAAAAAAACATTCTATTTCTCTGCAGGATCTTTGTCCATCATATTGAATCAAGCCTGTCAGTGGCAAAAACAATACATTACAGCCTGTACAGCGGCTCTCAAAATATTGTTTCCCCCATTAGACACAAAAATTTGGAGAAAAATCCACGTTAAAAAACACCAAATCCACCTTTTTAATTCCTTATTATGTTGATTCAAATTGATTCCAGGAGGCTTACATGTTTTTTTCTACAGATTTACTGAATAATATATATGTAGGTGGGAAATGTGTAAAATAATGTGTTAATCCATGAATATTTATTTTTACTGCGGGTTTATTTCTACAGTATACAAGAAATTAAAGTCAACAAGATATGCCAAAAAAAACTCCCAAAAATGTACACCATACTACATGAAAGTATTTTTTTGTTGAGCCTGAAGTTAAGGAACACTTATTACTGAAGGCTCCTGGTGTATTCTCTCTAGTCAGTTTTCTAGCTGTGAATCATTTGTTTAGCAATGATTTAACAAAAACAACAAGTAGGGAAACCTTGAAGTGTTTTGCAGCTATGCGAGCTTTGGTTTCAGTAATAAGGAGATGCTGTTGTCTCGCATTGTTGACAGCTCAGGTTTTTTTCCCGTTGATGCCTGTATCATCATCAGCGGCGCTTACGCAGGAACAGTCCTGAGGGCTTTATTTAATTAGGCAGCAATCTGAGCAGGAGGGAGAGGCGATATTGTTAACCGCAACAAGGCTTCAACAAACAACACAAATGAGAGAGTGGAGCCTCCGGTGAAAAGAAAGGAGAGGTAAAGACGGAAAAAACACAAGGTTTTTAGGGAGAAAACACGGCGCCGCAAGAGCCTCGAGTAACGATCTTTATCGGTAGCTCTGTTTATTTATTTATAACGGCGAGTGGTTTCAAAGGGAGCCGTTGATATTCATGCCACGACATTTGGGTGGACTTCCATCGCTCTTATCTGCCTCTTTCTCTTCTTTTTTACTCCCTTTGCTTTTCCCTCCTCTCCCACTCCCTCCTTCTCTTTTACCACTCGCTTTCAAAACGATGATGCCCCCCCCCAATTCCCACCAAAAGAAGTCTGCCCACACATTGTAAATATTTTATAAAAGCTCTGAGGAGAAAAAAAAAATCAATGATTTGAAAGGAGAGAGAGAGAGAAGAAGGGGGAGCGATGCAAAGAGGAGATAAGTATGGGGGAATAGCAGGAGGAGAGAAGGTAGAGAGGAGCGAGGGGAAGTCTTTCAGGTGTCTCATCTCCCTCAAGACTTCCGAGGGCTATTATTCATGAGGAAGAAGAAGTGATGAGAGGTCTGTGGACTCTCCTAAAATATCAGAAATGGGGGAAAGTCCAGCAGGCTGGTAATAAAGCACACTGTGAGATAATAAGCTAAAATGTGAGGCGGTGGAAAGACATGGGATGACACTACATCGCCCAAAGTGTCTCCCCAAACATTAAACCAGTGTGTAATTGTTAAACAGTTCCTTCTATTGGCCATGAATATGCTGCTACACCAGCCAACGGTGCCTTGTCCAAAACTAGAACAAAAGTGATTTGTTCTAGTCAGCAACACAACATTGAAGCAGCACCAATTCAAGTTTAATGGACAATTGATCAAATAACTATATGTAACGTGAAGGTAGCTGGTGAACACAGTGGAGCTTTTAGCAGCTAAAGAGCCAGATGTTTTTCCTCAGGAGCCGGTGGAGACCAAAAACAGAGCTAAAAAGGAGAGTTGAGTATTTGGCAAAAAAGTTACTTAAAAATGAGTGATTGTGTGACAACAGTTTTACAAGGCCATAATATGTCCGACCTACAGTAGCTTAGGCTAAACAATTTACCTAATTCAGATGTTGCTCTGAGTCAATAGGATCTCGATAGGAACTTTAAATTGGACTTTTACGGACGTTTTGCGCCACTTCGAGTTACATGCCGTTATGCCCGTAGCTTGAGTTACGCTACAAACATAGTTATTGTGAGCCAAACCGCAATGTTTTTTTTCTAACCCTTCTTCTAACCAAGTATTTACATTGCCTAAAACATACCGTGTCTCTTTTTACAAAGTTAAACACGTGTTAAAATGTGTTAAAACGTGTTAAAACGTGTTAAAACGCTAACCACGACAAGGCTGCCCCTTTATGATGAGTTTCAATGAGATCATGGTACGATGAAATTTCTCAAGGCTTCCCTTGGCATAGTTACAACAAAACAAATAAAAACAAACAACTAAAATAAAAAACTGTATTCATCACGCCCCTGGTGTGTAAAGGCCTTTAAGGTTAGGAAATGACGGTTGTTCACTAGCAACACATTCCCAGCTCATAGTCACTTTGTTGTCCCATCCATCCACCAGACTTCTTGCTGTGCTAACAACAATATACTGTATATGCAAGTATGTATGTACTGTATGTATCTACAACCACCCTCAAGAAATGAATGACAGTACAAATACACTTCTGGATATAACATCACACTGCTTCTGTCTTTGTTCCTGACAGAACAGAGTCACAAACAACAGCTACCCGTGGCCCTTGTCACGGAAACCTAAACACATGCTGTATTCAACGTTCAAAAACAAATGACAAATGCTGTTTTGAGTGGACAGTCTCTGCTGTAACAGCCTCCACTCTCCTGATGGTCAAGGGCCCTTCCCCAAACTGCTATATCGTCTATCATCCTCTTCGTTTTGGACAATAAATAGCTCCAAAAGGGGACTCTTGTGCCACAGAGCACAAAAATATCCCCACTCTATTGTTTCATGTGACTATTGCACACAGCAAAAACAGTGTGCAATTGTTGTTTTTTCTCCCACAGCCAATATCTGTTGTTCAGGTCGATTGCTCATGTCAGGGTAAATGGCTTAGAGGGCTGGCTGGGTAGCGAGGTGTGGTCGCAACGACGGAGGCGACGGCAGCGATCGTGTTTTTCTTACAGCGAGAGAGCTCATGCACAGTGAAGAGCAGCTCCTTTTCTAATTGGTGCCGGGATCGATATAATCCACGGCTGACGGAGGGAAGTGCTCGCGAGAGGCAAAAACAAGGAGAGGACATCATAGTAGAACTCTTTTGCTGATGCTGATGGGGAACGACAAAGAAGCTGTACGTGAGGCAATCTCAGATATGCAAATGATCGACTCTAAAAATGGTAGTTTTTGAGAGGGAAAACAAACCTCTGCTGGGTGCACCAAAGCACTTTGTGGGAAGAGAGAGACAGCGTTATTAAAATCATTCTTATTTCAAGGGAAATTGTGACTCTTCTGAGTCTGGGTTTGAAAGAGATCACGTCTGGCTACGCTCAGCCAGCTGGTGGGAGCCAGACTTGAAGAATAAATGAATGCACAGTTGAATAAAACTTGCTTACTTCATTTGTCAAGTTTCTGCCTCAACACTTACCGGACAAAGTCAATGCGGTGGAAAGGTTGCAAACGAAGCAAAGGCTCTATATTCCAATTCCTCTTTCTCATTATTCTCCAGAGTCTCGACACTTGTGCGTATTGGTAAAGTAATTATCGGTTGTGGAGCTCATATTTTCATTCTCAGTGCTGAATGCATTCCTGAAAATCACTGACTGACAGATAAGCGGAGGACTATCATGCATTGCTTGTATATTAGGCTGTGATAAACACGGCAATCAACAAAAACACAGCTGTCCATCTCGTCTCATGTCTCAACATCATACTATTACACTCATTATACAGTCGCAGCTTTTACACTAATGGCTTCATTCTCCCTGCACTCCAGTCTTTTGTCGCCAGTACTGCCATGTACAAACTCATGATACTAATGCTGCACATGAATATTCATATGGCCTGTAACGCATAGCATTTTGGTCTTTCGAGCTGTGTCACAGAGCTCCATTGTTGTACAAAAACTATTAAAAACACATCAATGAGCCGCTCCGTAGTTTGGACACTATACCACTTCTACCATCCTAACGCCCTAAATACTCACTAGAGCACCAAATGTGGATTAATCCACCGCAGAATATAGTCCCACAACAAATGCACTATTTACTCCAGTTGGAATAAACACAGATGTTTTCAGCTGTGTTAGGGAATCACAGAGCCGTTTTTAAAGATACAACTTTATATTTGTGATGCAATAGACAGGGGTTATGGAAAGACGAACCAACTTATTGTTGGTTTATATACAAAATGGATTTGTATCACCAGCCAATGTAGCTAGTGTAGAGACGTGGCGGACTCTGTAAAAAGGACCTTCGTTATGCAGATACGAAGGGCTCATTCTAAACAAACTAAACTTGGGATTCTTAGTTTATGGCGATTATACACTCAGGAAAACAGTTATGAATAGGGATGGGTATCGTTAGGATTTTATCGATACTAGTACTCTTATCGATACTGCTTATCGGTTTGGTTCCTTATCAATACTCTTACTGGTTCTTATCGGAGCAGCAATACAATAAAGTTCCAAAAATCTATAAATTACATTTGCTAAGTGATTAGCTTTCATTTATTAGCCTATTCTTATTAGCAAACTCCATATGGCATCGCTAACATTAACTGCATTGGACGATGATGGACGGCTCCTTTTTATTAATTTAGAACCGGTTCCGGTTTAGAACCGAGTTTCGGGTGGCATCCCTAGTTATAAATATTATATTCCTTTTCTGCCAATAGATCCCCCTGAATCCTAGACTCTGGCCCTTTCAGTCAACAACCTTGTGAAGTTTCTGAGTTATCTTCATGTTTTTTTTGGTGTAATTGCGTATACTTTAAAGGGACAGTACTGTCCCTTTAAAGCTAGAATTGATATTTCTTAAATAACAATGCACGAAATGACAACGTGAAAGTTGTCGCTTGTAGCGATGTGCCTACCAAGAACTATTACCCAAATCTGCGGCTCCCCACGGCTTTACAGAGCTTTAT